ATTATCACGGGAAATCAACGGTAGATCTACGACATACAGAAATATTTTCGGCATACTAAATTATTTTGCAATTTTGACTGTTTAAAATTATTTTCGCCATTTAAATTTACGTCAAGAGCAAAATATCTTCGACATCAATGTATAGTCATAAACGCCGTAAGTTTACTCAAGAAGAAGCTTACCTTGGAATTTGGGCTGAGCGCGATGACGACGACGACGACGATGTACACTCAGTCCGAAGAAAGGGGTATATAATCGTTGGATTTTTTTTATTTTTTTATTTTTATTTTTTTAACTATTGACACGAATCTAATCCTTCATAGAGATTTAGAATTTGTTACTTCATCGATGCCATCTGTTTCAGTGGAAGACGATGATGAGTTGGATAAGGAAGATTCAGCTGTTTCTTCAGATGAATCATTTGAGGATTATAAGCAATTGAATTCACAGCGAGAAACAAAACCTAAGAATTCGTGGCAATCACCACCTATGGTTGATAAAGATTTTGGAAAATTTGAACAGCATACAAAAGGAATTGGCTTAAAGCTTATGCAGAAGATGGGTTATAAAATAGTATGTTTACGAAAAATATTACATCTGTCAAACAAAAAATCAGTTCTATTAAGTTTATTAAGTTTATTAATACAAATAATGTACTTAGGGTGAAGGTCTTGGGGTAGAAGGACGTGGTATTACAAAACCAATCGAGACAAAACTGCGACCTCAGAAAATGGGATTGGCATATGATGGTTTCGCCGAAAAGACGAATCAAGCGAAAAGGCATGAATCAATTATCATAAATTACAATTTATCCATATGGATCTTTTTTATGAAATTTTAACCAAGGTATTTTATATAATAAAGGAAAGAGATGTCTATTCACGAAGAAGAAAATATTATCAAGAACGTACCAAGAGAAAAAAAATGGAGAAAATCTACAAAATCCAAGAAATTAAATATTGAATACAAAACGGCTGATGAAATAATGAACGAGGCTGCATCAACAATTCCAATGCAGCCTATGAAAATTATAGATATGACTGGCCCACAGGTAGGAATTAGATTACTTAGTTACTGAAAGATATTTCTTTTTATTCTTTCAAACTCTATAATTCGATTATTTAGGTTCGTGAACTATCATCTGCGAGCCAAATCACTTCTCTTGCCATTCCAGATTCATCTACACGTCTTCCGGAACTTCGTCATAACCTTCGGCTAATCGTAGACATGTCAAAGTCGGATCTTGAGCATTACACTAGAGAGAGAAGGATACAGAATGAGCGGGCTAAAACCCTCGAAAAAGATTTTGACAGAGTATCTGCTTTAATAGAGGATGAAGCAGGACGTAAGTAATTAGTATTCTGAATATTTAATTGATGATTTCTACCTAATTGCTTACAAATCCTATTCTTAATCTATAAAGGTATAAGCAGACTTAATGACGTCATGTCCATTGTCAAAGAATGCAATAGGCTACTTACATTAACTATATCTAGTAATTCTCCTTCGTTGCAACTCTTTATGGATCCTTTTGAAAAGTTGCAAACTAAATATCAAGATGAATATACATTATACGGTTTGGATACTGCTGTTGTTGCAATAATAGCACCAGTGGTAAGTAAATATATAATTACTGATACGAGTTAGTTGAAAACACAGATCGGATTAATATAATTTGTCATTCTCAGTTCAAACAATACATGACATTTTGGGATCCGTTAGAAAATCCTCAGCTTGGGTTGCATGAGTTTCAGAAATGGGAAAGATTATTAAAAACAACTAAAATAATGTTATCAGAAAATGACCATATAAGGTAAATTACATATAGGCCACTTTTTATATTTTGTGTATTAAAACTTATTAACCAGTTTTGGGTTTAACCACTAGAGAATTGTCAATGACACCATATGAAAGTATGATGTACAATATTTGGCTTCCAAAGGTCAGATCAGCGATAAAGTAGGTCCATTTTATACTCAAAAGCATTTGCTTTGTTTACTTGATTTTGTATATTTGACTTATATACTTTGTTTAATTAAGTAATACCTGGAATGCGAGAGACTTTGATCCAGCAATTCGACTGCTTGAATGTTGGAGACCGCCATTGCTTCCAGTATTCATTTATGAAAACATTATAAATCAACTAATTATGCCAAAGTTAACAAGGGAAGTTGACGAATGGAACCCCAAAACAGATGGTGAGATGATTCATCAATGGCTCCATCCTTGGCTTCCTGTGTTAGGTGAACGCATGGATCCATTATACGTGACAATACGTCAAAAGTTCCGAATAATTTTGCAAAATTGGGATCCTATGGATACCAAAGCGATGAATATTTTGTATCCATGGAAAAATGTAACGTTGCATTTTAATTTTAATTGAGGCTTTTAACTTTATGAACATCTAATTAAAATTATTTGAATGACATTTAATAGGTTTTCCCACCAGAAGATATGCAACTATTTCTTGTTAAATCTGTCTTACCAAAGCTTTCAGAGACAATGAGAACGAGATTTCAAATCAATCCTAGAAAACAAGAATTAGGTAGGACTTTTATATTTGTATTTTAAAGTCAATTCTTATATTTTAGTTGTTAATTAATTTTATTCATGATATAATAGGACTTTTTAATTGTGTGATGACTTGGAGACATATGTTTACTTCCGAAATTTTTGGACGATTATTTGAAACAGCTTTTTTCCCAAAGTGGTTAGACGTTTTATATACATTACTAACGCACAATCCAGATTACGATGAAATAAGAGAATGGTAGGAATTTTGCATTTAACAGATTATATTTTAGTTAAAGTAAACTAATATTCCAATTTAATAGGTATCGTTTTTGGAAGTCAGTGTTCCCCCCGGAAATGCTTTCTGATTTAATCATTGAAGCACAATTTATAAAAGGATTAAATATGATTGATGAGAGTATTTCATTAGGAAATGAATCCGCCAGCAGGTTTGTTAATTTATTGGATGGTTATTTATTATTATTATTATTATTATTATTATTTGGTATTGTTTTGTTTATTATAATACGGTTAATGTCTGTAGATTACCACATCCATCTCAACGAAGCGAGATTCCAGATTCAGAAGAACCCTTTTCATCAACCAAATATGCGCCAATTATTGATGATGCAGAAATTACTTTTAAAGAGATTGTGGAAGAATTTGCTGAAGAACAAAATCTTTTGTTCATTCCAACTAATAAAAATCATAAAGTTTCAGGAAAACCACTTTATCGTATAGGACGTTCTGCAGGAGGCACCGGCGGGTTAACACTATATTTAGATGATGATGTTATGTATGTCAAGCAAGGACTTGAATGGTTACCTATGGGGTTTGATGAAGTACTGGAAAAATTAATGTAGAAAAATTTTATTTATTATAATGTATATTGAAAAATCAATTAATACATATAGATTTCTAACCAATTGTAAAATACATATTATTTGAAACACGAGAAATAATTTAGATCTCACTAGCTCTCTGACCCGGGCGCTGCTCCGGGGGCGCGTTCTCAATTTTTTTAGTTTTTATTTATTTCTAATTTTCATTATTTAATTTATTAGTATATAAGTTTTGAATTGATTTTATATTTTTACATTATAGTTTTTATAGTCTAAGTATTTAATAGTCTAATTAATAGTCTTAAATTGTTTATATATTTTTATGTTATGGTTTTTATAGCTTAAGTATTTATTAATAGTTTTAAATTGTTTATATGTTTTTATATTATAGTTTTTATAGTTTAAGT